TCTACGACCGACAGCGCGACACACTGAGACCCCTGGTGGCAGAACAGCGCCGCCAGACGACCACCGCAGACCAATCACCGCTCGAGCGAAATAACAACTAGCGCCACCTGTGGGCAGATCCTTGCAGACGGGACATGAATTTCTCGCACATGCATTTGACGAGAAGGAGAGAGGGACGGCCACGAGGTTGAGCCACTTGCGTAAACGATGCATGAATACAAGCACTGGGTCTCTCTCTCTCNATATATGTATAATGAAATCCATCAAATTTATAATATACACTGCTAAACTTATGTAATATATATAATATATATTCATAATATATACATTATGTTCTGTATAAATTAATAATATTTACAAGGTGCTGCTTTTTGTAGACTGTCGCGTGCGTGCGTATACAAATCGTCATGAACGCCGCTATATAGGCCTACATGGAAGACCGTCTAGAAGGTTGTCTGATACGTGAACGTCGTTCCCGTGTATGTATGAGCGCTGTGGCTTCTTTCCCGTCAAGTGTCGTTCGTGCTCAGGTTCGTCACCGACATCCCATCTTAGAATCTCGCCGCTTGCCTACCTGGCGTGGTTGGTAGCGTCCGCGTGTGCGGGCTGCTTCCACGGACCGAAAAAACCCCCGAGACGCAGGTCCGGTGATCGCGTCTCGGTGCGGGTGTTCGGAAATTTTAGTTGACCTGTGAACTTATCCCTGTTTCCGGGATGAGATTACGTACGTCTGGATGTCTATGATATGTATGCGTATATTAATAGCCAGTAGATTGCATTATATTAATAGTGCTTGTGATAGTGTACGATATGGATATGTATACGTATATTAATAGCTAGTAGACTGTATTATAGTAATAGTATAAGTATATTAATAGCTACGATATGTATGCGTATATTAATAGCTAGTAGACTGTATTATATTAATAGTCTGTGATAGTGTACGATATGGATATGTATACGTATATTAATAGCTAGTAGACTGTATTATATTAATAGTCTGCGATATGTATGCCTGTAATAATACCTAGTAGACTGCATTATATTATGTATGCCTGTATTAATAGCTAGTGACTGTATTATAGTAATAGTCTACGATATGTATGCCTGTATTAATAGCTAGTAGACTGCATTATATTATGTATGCGTGTATTAATAGCTAGTAGACTGTATTATATTATGTATGTATTGTGTGTATTAATAGTGTAATAATGGGAGATTAACAATAACGCAGGCGACACGGACTGTTACACATGAAAGCTTTATTGTGACACGAAGTTTCCCATAGCATCCCCTCACTAGAGATGGTGACAACACAACCGCAGCAGCAGACGAATGATTAATATTGGCGGGGACGACGATTCAGCCGCTGCTAATTAAGCGTGGTAATTAAGCTAATTAATATACGGTTAATTACAAGCTAATCGACCGCTTACGGAGCATCTTCCGCAGCTTCTGTCCTGATGAAGCCACGTTGCCGACACTCCCAGCCACCGCATCCTCGGCGCGGCCGCCAGGTGGCGCCAACGGTCCTCCGTCATTGAAATGAGTCGCAGGGTTTTGCGAGCCCTGTGATTTGGAGGCGGCCGCAGGCGCCATCTGGCGGGGGAGATCGGAGGTTTTTTCTCGCACTTGACTCGAATCGACGAAGTAGAAAACATCTGTGACAGAGCTGAGCGGAGGTGTGGGGGGGGCGCCAACGCCACGCCCTCGCCCCCTCTAGCGGCTTGAATTATGCAAAAGCTTGCCTCTACCTCTACCATGCCCGTCCCACACATGCGCGATGACGTGTCGGGGGCCGCCGCGCATATGGTTATACACGGCGCGGGGCCCGCGCGCGCTGCGGCAGCGCCATCTATCGCGGTTACAGCGAAAACACGAATAGCTGCGTCTCTCTCTCGTCTCTACGCGCGGCGGCGAACAGTGTTTTCGTAAAATAGTCATTAAATTATCATTAAATACAACACACGATGAAACTTTTGCAGTCCACTTCCAAACTACAGAAATTCACAAAGAGCTTTTATGATGACATCGCGCGAACACACACACACACACACGCATGCGCGCTCGGCCTCCCGCCAGACAGACCCAGGCGATCGCGCGCAATGATACAAGCTATCAATCATATCAATCATATACTTAATAATCGTACAATACGCATATAGACAAAAATAGATTAATATACTGGGGGGGGGGAGCTCTCATACCTCAGTCACAAGTATATCCAGTGCTGCTACGCATAACCCGCTAGTCTAAACGCAAATAGAAAGTTGCGGACGCGCGCGCGAAAAACCACAACGAAGAGACGATCTCGCGTTCGTTAGTTATTATTATTATTATTATTATTATTATTATGAAAACCTGCAGACGATGCAAACCTCCTTGAATTCTCTCCTCGAATCTCAAATTTGCCGAGATGCAAAAAAAACATCTCGCCCTGGAACAGTCGTTGCCGTGGCAACGTCGTCCTTTTCGCCCATCATTCGCGATCGAGCGGCGCCCCCCTGGCGCTATTCTCCGATCCGCCGTTGCGCGTAACGTCCCCTAGAGCGCCCCCTATACATATTACTCGGGTATGCAATAAAATCTTAACGTACGCAGCGACGCGCGCGCCGCCGGTCCGACGCTCAGCCCACCAGGCGGCGCCACCCGCCCCCACGCGGGCGCCGGTGGCGCCGCACCGTGGCCGGATCGCGAACCGGTGGCGAGTTCGCCTCTCTCTCTCTCTAATGATGAAGCGATTAACGAAAACTCATCAAAATATTGCTAATCTCACTACTAGACTACGTCCGCTAGATACACCTATACTCACGCTGCCTGGGTCTGCCTGGCACCACGGCCGGCGCTCTAACTAACCAATTACAGAACTCGCGCGAGGGAAAGCGCCGCGCGAGCGAACATACGACCGTCCCGCGAGCGACCGGCTAGAGGGCGCCACGTGTACAAAGATGGTGGATCCGCGCGCGTTGCTCCGTCGCCGCGCCCGCCGGGACGGCGGCGCCGCTCCCTCTCGCTCTTTTTTAAGTCGCGGCGACTACGGCGGGCGATGGCGGCGCCCCCTACTGGTGCGCGTCACCGCCGTATTCGTACGTGTCGGTCTCGGTGTGGCGCTCGCCGCCTTCGCCCTCGACGGAGCGCGTGTGCGTGGTGGTCACGTGCACGCTGTCCGGCTGCTGTGGCTCCCCCTGCATGTACCTGCGGGGAGAGATGGCCATGTGTTAGCGAGAGATAGATGAAGAGAGAAAGTGAGAGAGATCGATAGAGAGAGAGAGTGAGAGAGAGAAAGAGATAGAGACAGAGAGAAAACCAGAGATAGATATAGAGAGTGAGAGAAAGAAAGAGATAGAGACAGAGAGAAAAACAGAGATAGATATAGAGAGTGAGAGAGGGGGAGCAGAGAGAGGTCGGTAATAAGAGAGAGAGAGAGGAAAGTAAGAGAGAGAACGACGAGAGCATGAGTGGAGAGACAGAGTCTGCGGGTCCTCCGCTCGCCTCACGGTCCCCGAGTCATGTAGCAGTGTGAGAGGGAAGAGGAGGAGGAGGAGGAAGGGAGAAGGGGAGGGAGGAGGAGAGTCTTAACTTGTTGAGCAGGGCCTGCATCTCCGGGTCCTCCGCCGCGTACGTCCTCCGACCTCCCGTGTCGTGTAGCGCAGTGTGAAAAAAAGAGGGAGGAGGGAGAAGAGAGAGGAGGGATAAAAAAAAAAAAGAAAAAAAAAAAAAAAAAAAAAAGAAGAGAGAGAGGGGGAGGAAGGAGGAAGAGAGTCTACTTGTTGAGGCAGGGCTGCATGTCCGGGGTTCGCGCCTGCCGCCGCGGTTCACCGTTCGGACGCTCCCCGTGTCGTGTAGCAGTGCGAGAGGGAGGAGGGAGAAGGGAGGAGGGAGGAGGGATGAGGGAGAGTCTTACTTGTGAGGCAGGGCGCTGCATCTCTGGTCCTTGCCCGCGTCACCGTCCCGACTCCCCGTGTGGTGTAGGCAGTGCGAGAGGGAGGGAGGCAGAAGAGTAGAGGAGAAAGGAGGGAGGAGGAGGAGGGAGAGTCTTACTTGTTTGAGGGCAGGGCTGCAGTCTCCGGGTCGCTCGCGGCGGTCACGTCGCGCCGACGCTCCCCGGTCGTGTAGCAGTGCGAGAGGGAGGAAGGGAGAAGGGAGGAGGGAGGAGGGAGGAGGGAGAAGAGAGAGGAGGGAGAGTCTTTACTTGTTGAGCAGGGCGCTGCATGTCCGGTCCTCCGCGCGTCCCGTCCCGACTGCCCCGTGTCCGTGTAGCGTGGGCGAGAGGGAGGAGGGAGAGGGAGGAGGGAGGAGGGAGGAGGGAGAAGTCTTACTTGTCTGAGCGAGGGCCTGCAATCTCCGGGTCCTCGCCGCGTCACCGTCCCGACTCCCCTGTCGTGTAGCAGTGCGAGAGGGAGGAGGAAGAAAGAGAGAGGAGAAAGGAGGGAGGAGGGAGGAGGGAGAGTCTTAACTTGTTTGAGCAGGGCCTGCATCTCCGGGTCCTCGCGGCGCGGTCAAGCGTCGCGGACCTCCCCGTGTCGTTGTAGGCAGGTGGTGAGAGGGAAGGAGGGAGGAGGGAAGAGGGAGGAGGGAGAAGGAGGAGGGAGGAGGGAGAAGGAGGAGGAGGAGGGAGGAGGAGGGGGAGAGTCTTACTTGTTGAGGGCAGGGTCTTGCATGTCCGGTCCTCCGCGCGCGTCACCGTCGGCGACCTCCGCGCCGTGTCGGTCAACCTAGCTCCTGGCGTGCCGTCCGCGTGGATGATCTTCTTCTGACTGAATCTGCTGTGCTTGTGAGAACCCTGGCGAGAGAAGGCAGACGAACTAGTTGAGCGACCTTGACCCCGCGGTGGACGCTCGCTAGCGTTTATGCGCGGCGTATTCGGCAATCGACTTATTTCAGCCGATACCGCTTGTAAATACACTCCGCATTGATTCATCAATACAGTAATCGTATCTATTAGAGAGTGTTTGATACGTCGCTTAAACGATTCATTATAGAGCATTCGTTGATCGAACTCTCGTCGTGTGTCTCTGTGTGTGTGTGTGTGTGCGTGCATGCGTTCGTGCGTGTGTGCGTGTGTGTGTGTATGCATGCGTGCGTGCGTGCGTGTGTGTGTATGTGCGTGTGTGCGTGTGCGCGTGTGTGTGTGTGTGTGTGCGTGTGTTGTGTGTGTGTATGTGCGTGCGAGCGAAGGAAGCTTACCTTCTGACGATGGTACCATCTTCTAGCTCCTCCTCCACAACCTCAGACTCGACATCATCATCATCATCTGCAAAACCCATCGCAATAGAGAAATCAGTTCACCGATCACCCAACAGTCGATCAATCACGAATCAATACGTCGCGGCGTATACCTGACAGGGAGTTCACAGATTGCAAACAGTGAATTGATCGATCAATCAATCACGAATCAATACGTCGCGGCGTACACTTGACAGGGAGTTCACAGATTGCAAACAGTGAATTGATCGATCAATCAATCACGAATCAATACGTCGCGGCGTACACTTGACAGGGAGTTCACAGATCGCAAACAGTGAATCGATCGATCAATCAATCGCGAATCAATACGTCGCAGCGTATACCTGACAGGGAGTTCACAGATTGCAAACAGTGAATTGATCGATCAATTAATCAATCACGAATCAATACGTCGCGGCATATACTTGACAGGGAGTTCACAGATCGCAAACAGTGAATTGATCGATCGATCAATCAATCACGAATCGATACGTCGCAGCGTACACTTGACAATACTTGACAGGGAGTTCACAGATCGCAAACAGTGAATTGATCGATCAATTAATCAATCACGAATCAATACGTCGCATGGTACATTTGACAGGGATGCAGGCGTTTACGTGCTGGGCTGCATTATCAAGGAGCTAGCGACGACGCCGACGACGACGACGACGTGACACAAGCATAAACGAAACGAAGCATACATCGGACATACGTGGCAAGACCTGCACGCACGCACACGTACACACGTATGCACGCACGCACGCATAAACGCGCACGTATACACGTATGCACGCACGCATAAACGCACACGTACAGTCGCGCATACACGTACACGCACGCATGCATGCATGCGCACGAACACAAACGTGCACACGCACACATTAATTCTCTATGCAACATGTAGATGGCGTGCTTCTACCACGTGGTCCGACACGGCGACCACGGGCATACGACCGACAGCGCGACACACTGCGACCCTGTGGCAGAAACAGCGCCGCCAGACGACCACGCGCAGACCATCACGCTCGAGCGAACTAACATAGGGCCACCTGTGGGCAGATGCCTTGCAGACGGGTAGCATGATTTCTCGCCAGCTGATTTGACGAGAAGGAGGAGAGGGACGGCAGAGGTTGAGCCTAGCTTGCGTAAACGATGCAATGAATACAGCAGCTGGGTCGCTCTGCTCTCTCGTCACTCATCATTCTCTCTCTCGTCTATCTCTCTATCTCTCACTCATCATTCTCTGCTGCTCGCTCTATCTCTATACTCTCACTCATCTTGCTGTCTCTCTGCTCTATCTCTATGCTCTGCACTCATCATTCTCTCTCAATCTCGTGCGTTGCTTTCTCTCATCACTCATCATTCTCTTCTGCTATCTCTCTCTCGCTGCTAATCTCTATCTCTCACTCATCAGTTGCTCTCTCAATCTCGTGGGCGTGCTCTCTCTTCATCATGCATTCTCTCTGTTAATCTCTCTCTCGCTCTATCTCTATCTCTCACTCATCATTCTGTCTCATCTCGTGCTGCGCTCTCTGCTGCACTCATCATTCTCTCTCTCTATCTCTATCTGCTCATCATCATTCTCTCTCTATATCTCTATCTCTCACTCATCATTCTCTCTCTCGCTCTCTGCTGCTCTCGATCTCTCTCTCTGGTCCTCTCTCTCGTGTCTCTCTCTGCTCTCTGCTCACGTCATCATTCTCTCTGTATCTCGTGGCGCGCTGCTCTTCACTCATCATTCTCTCTCTATTCGTGCGCGCTCTCATCTGCACTCATCATTCTCTCTCTATCTCGTGCGCGCTTGTCTTCTCACTCTCATCTCTCGTCTCTATTGTGCGCGCTCTCTTCGCTCTCAGGTAACTGTTCACATGCTCAAGGTCAAGAGGTACGGCGTGGAGGTCAGAGGTTGGTTTAGGACAAACGGGGCCCGCCGCAGAGACTGATAATATCCTCATGCGGCGCAGGGCCCACTCGAATCGACAGGGCGATCACAAATGATTGAAAAAGACTTGCTATGGTGCAGTGCGATTTATTGAGCGGTGACAATGAGAAATGACTAAATGACTACGCAGTGCTATGACAATGAAAACAAATGACATGAACTCCAGTGCATGAAATGAAAAACCAAATGACAATAATACGCAGTGCATGACAATGAAAACTAAATGACAATGATACCAGTGCATGACAACTGAAAACAAATGACAATGATACCAGTGCATGACAATCGAAAACAAATGACAGATGACTACCAGTGCATGACAATGAAAAGCAATCGAATAACTACCAGTGGGCATGAAATGAAAAACAAATGCAAGACTACGCAGTGCTGACAATGAAAAACAAATGACAATGACTTACGCAGTTGCATGAACAATGAAAACAAAGTGACAATGATACGCGTGCATGAAATGAAACAAATGACAATGACTAGCAGTGCATGACATGAAAAAGCAATGGATTAATCAGAATTTATCAGATAGCACTAATCCGTAATAGCTATACTATCAATGAATTTAACAATGCGTGGCAATGACAGTCACGATTTTTTTTGTTTTATTATTTAAATAATAAATGTCTAATGATCACTAATTAATGACAATAACTACAGGCCACGACAATAACAAACAATGTGTGACATCAAAAGAACAGTGCTTTACGATGAGCAACTAATGCGTTGTAACAACAAAAGAAGGCAGTGCTTTCCGGATGACACACAATGCGTGACAACAAAAGAACATGTCGCTTTACGATGACAGCCACAATGCGTGACAACAAAAAGACAGTACTTTTACGAATGACAACAAAGCGTGAAACGAAAGAAACAGCGCTTTTACGAATGACACACAATGCGTGACAACAAAAGAGCAAGCACTTACAATAACCACAATGCGTGACAAAAGAAGGCAGCGCTTTCCGATACAGCACAAATGCGTGAACGACAAAGAGCAGTACTTTACGATGGACACACAATGCATGACAACAAAAGAACAGTGGTTTAACATGACAACACAATGCGTGACAACCAACAGAACAGGCTTTACGATGAAACCACAATGCGTGACAACAAAAACAGTGCTTTACGATGACACATAATGCGTGACAACAAAAGAACAATGTTTTACCGATGACAAACCAATTTGCATGACAAACAAAGAACAGCGGTCTTTCTAATGAACACATGCGTGAAACAAAGAGGTCGTTTAACGATGACACATCAATGCGTGAAACAAAAGAAGCAGTACTTTACGATGAGCACAACGTGACGATGACGCCGGACGAACGATGTCGCAACAGGACGTGACGACATCGATGACGAACACAAGATGGAGCGTGACGACGTGACCAATAGTAACCAATAGTAACTGTTGGGGTGGCACGTCTGCCTGGATTCGCCGTCGCAACT